AGTTATAAACAACCAACAACACAGACGGCCCGGCTCCGTGGAGAACCCAGCAGGGGACCCTGGCAGAGGGACACGAACCTTTCCTAGCCACACGACAGGACAGTCATAAACGCAGGAGTCATAAGGTCATGATGAGAAGCACACTCACTGAGTGTGTATGATGTCATTTAACCCTCAAAATAGCCCGGAGAGAAAATATTTTCGAAACACATCTCTGTAAAGGACTTATACCTGGAATACAAAGAATCATAAGAAAACCAATAACCCAACTTAGACAATGTGCACAAGACCTTAGATACCTCACCAGAGAAGACACCCGGATGGCCACTGAGCTACCTCCTTAGCTTCAGGGGACGCACACGGGAACCACAATGAGAGGCCACTGCGCACCATCGGAAGGAGCGAAACCGTAAAGGACTGACATGCCTGTGTGGGACGGGCTGTGCCGCCCTGGAACCCTCACAGCTGTGGTGGGAGTGCAAACGGCACAGCCTCCGATAAAACTAAACACACACCTGCCTGCAGCCCAGCCCCTCCACTCCCAAGAGAAATAGAAACCACACACAAAAACCTGTATGCAAATATATATAGATTTATTCTAAGTAAAACAAAGAACTCAAAAGTCCATGAATTTTGAGAACGGAAAAACCAGTTATGGAACACTGGCCACTGGAACACCACTCAGCCGTGAAAAGGGAGTGAACTGCAGGCACAGGCTGCTGGGGTCCAACCCCAGCAGGTCCAGGGGTCCCCAAAGGTGTGGACGGAGTCGGCGAAGAAAGAATGACACGGAGACAGCATTCAGTTGATCAGCAGCCTAGCCAGGATCTCCAGCCAGGATCTTTAGCCAGGATCTCCAGCCAAGTTCTGGTTAGGATCTCCAGCCAAGTTCTGGTTAGGATCTCCAGCCAGGTTCTGTGTCCATGTTCTCTTGATAGGTTCTCCAGGTTCTCCAGCCAGGTTCTGTAGCCATGTTCCCTCGATAGGTTCTCCAGCCAGGTTCTGTCACCAGGTTCTAGTCAGGTTCTCTTGCCATGTTCTATCCAGGTTCTGTAGCCAGGTTCTGTCTCTAGGTTCTGTGGCCAGTTTCTGTCCAGGATCTTTTACCATGTTCTCTCACTAGGTTCTGTGTCTAGGTTCTGTCTCTAGGTTCTGTGTCCTGTTGTCTTGTCACATCTGTATTTATACCAGTTGATTCCAATCCTATCAATCTCTATTCCAAAGGTTAGGGCGTTTCTTATCTCCATTCCAGGGAGTGAAGATTATGTAGCTTAAGCATGATTGTTCATAGTTAAAGTGATTAATTACCCGCCTGGCACTTAGTTAAGGGGTTTTATTCCCTCCCTAACTTCAGGGGAAAATCCCTACCTGGGGAAACAACCTTTCTCAGAGAGGTGACCTTAGTTAAAACACATAGTGCCAAGAAGGTGAGCAAACATATTAAGAACAGTATGCCATATATGCCAGGTCCCTTGAAGCAGCAAGGATGGACCGGCTCCCGGCAACAGGCAACAGCGTGGGCTGGTGTCCATGCGTGAGGCCAAGTCCAAGAAGCCAGGCTGAAAGGTGGCAGCCATGCGATTCCCTGGCAAAGGCAAACGGCCGTGACACACACACAGGCCGGCGGCTGCCACTAAGGCGGGGCTACCTGACAGGGGCAGGGGATGTGAAAGTGAGCTGAAAGCTCCGGGTGATCTCTGTGGTGGTCATTGCAAAGCTGTATGCATCTGTCACACATCATCAAACTTACATTGACTGGGGGGACTTCATTGCCTGTAAGTCACACCTTATTAAAGCCAGAGGACGAGAGAAGCCTGTTTGGTTAAGAAAAGAAGCCCAAACAGCTGGGGCCATTCCTGCTGTTCCGGACGAGGAAACGGAGGCTCAGCAGGATGGCGTGGTGGCCCCAAGGCTGCAGCAAGCCCTGCAGGAGGCGAGGCGTGGTGGGGGAACCCAGGCACGGTGGAGCCGGCTGCGAGAGGAGCTGGAGGCTGGGCCATGCCCTGGGGGCAGCCTGGGTGGCACAGTGGCCGGCGCGGCTGAGATTTCAGGGATTGCAGGGCAGAGGCACATGAGGGCACTGACGGTGCTTCTCACGGGTCACCTCACTAACTGTCCCCGAGCTGTGGCCCGAGAGGCAGGCAATTCCCCAGTTCACACAGCAGAGCTGAGCCTTGGATGCTAGAGCCGTGCTCTTGTTCTGGTGACGGAAGGGCAGAGGGAGGCCCCCAGGACCAGCGTCACTCCCCAACTCCATGTGCACCTCAGTCCGCCCATTTCTCCTCTGGGCCTCAGCCTCCACCTCTGTAAAGTGGAGCTACAATAGCACCGCCCGCGGAGCCCCAGGAGAGGGGAGCCCAGGGTTGGAAAGGGCTGCCTGTGGCCTAGTCCCACCAGCCCAGACACCGGTGGGCTCACGTGGGGGAGGAAATGGGAGGAAGGGAGCCCGTGGGGAAAGGACACGCCCTCCTCTCCTTCGGGCCTCAGCTTTCCTTGATTGCAGGGGAGCAAGCTGGGCTACATGACAGCTGGCAAACTGGGGGCCATTTCCAGCACCACAGACATTTTGTTTTATTCCCAGGGTTGCTTTCTCCCTACCCTTTCCCCCATTTTTTTTTTTTTTTTTTTTTTTTTTGGTTAATCCTCACCCGAGGATATTTTTCCATTGATTTTTAGGGAGAGTGGAAGAGAGAGGTAAAGACAGAGAGAAACATCGATGTGAGAGAAACACATCGACTGGTTGCCTCCTGCTGGAGCCCCGATCAGGGCCCAGGCTGGGGAGGAGCCTTTAACCAAGATACATGCCCTTGACCGGAATCAAACCAGGGACCCTTTGGCCTGCAGGCCGACGCTCTATCCACTGAGCCAAACCGGCTGGCCGCCCCCTCCCCAATTTTTATTATGAGAAATTTCGAGCACATAAGTTGGAGCCTGGAGTGGCCGCTGCTCACACTTGTCCTCTGGCTCCCTCCTCTGCGCCTCCCTCCCAGGCAGACACTAGTTGTTGAGGGTAACTCATTGCCATCATCCTCTTCTTTTGTTCCTAACCCTCAGCATGCAGCGCCGGAGAACAGAGACATTCTGCTTGTAAGCACGATGCGGCTCACCAGCGAGGGAACAGCGGCCGCCCCGGACACCGCACACGGCCGGCCCGTGTCTGAGTGCCTAACCAGCCCAAGTGCCTTGCGGGGCCCCACCGCTCTGAGCCGCGTCTGACCGGAGTCACACACTCCACTTGGTTTTATCTCTTTCTCCCTCCATTTTTTATTTTGAAAACAATTACAACTCCAGAAAAGTGCTTGAATATGCGCCTGGCCCCACCGGCTGCTGGCACTTTGCCTCTCCCCCACTCCCCAGCCCTTGAAGAGTTGGTGGCAGACACACATAATTGTGCTTTTCCATCTGTTGCCGTCACTTAAACACCAGGAGAGCTCACTTAGTCTTTGATTTCCAGCTCCTACTGAAAACCCAGAGGCCCCGAGCAGGTCTCCAACACGGAGCAGTCAGCTGCGGGGAGCGGCAGCCGCCCCTCTGGAGTGGCAGTGGGTCTCCACTCTGCCGCTCGCATGGCCCCCTTTGTCCGACACCCCGCCTGCCTCTCTGTCACAGGTTCAATCCTCCCTCTACTCCAGGCGCTCTCCTGGGGAGGATGCCATCTCCCCCCTGGGGGCTCCTGGCCCATCGTGGGGCGGGTCCTCCACCAGGTGTCAGACTCGGAACTTAGCCTCCCCAGCACCAAGGAGAACGCTCACAGTTCTCAGACTCCCCAAGCCCAATCCCTGCCTCTCAGGGCAGTGTGAGGGTTAGCCAGGCCTGCCCCCGATCACTCTGCACAGCACTGGCCCACAGGGAGCACGCAGTAGGTGTGGCTGCCGGTGTAAGCTTTCTCAGAAGACAGGCACATACATGTATGAACAGAATCCCATGCGGTGAAAAAATGGGAACTGACCTACATGCTCGACAACAGGGAACTAACGGATTAGATAATCATTGCGTCCTTAAGATGCAAGAGTCGGCAGCTGAGACAAAGATGCCACATTTAGAAATGACCCAAAAGAACACACACAAAAAAGAAAATTAAAAAAAGTTTTTAAGAACTGACCCAAGTAGCCGTCAATAAAGGACCGTATCAAAGGGAATGGTTAAGTCTAGTCCTCTGCTAGGACATTGTGGGTTTATATGTGGAAAACTAGAAAAATTCATAAGAAATAAGTAAAAAGGCATCCCCTCTGTGTGGAGGCAGATTGCTCCTAGTTGCAAATATATATGCATACATATATACATATACATATATACATACATATACATATGTATACTTATTCTTACTCTATTTTTATGGGGTGTTGTGTGTGTGTGTGTTTTAGTTTAGAGGGAGAGAGAGGGAGAAACATCAATTGGTTGCCACACACACACACACACACACACACACACACGCCAACTGGGGTTCAAACCCCCAACCTGGGCATGTGCCCTGGCTGGGAACTGAACCCACAACCGTTTGGTGCTCCAACCAACTGAGCCACACTGGTCATGACTGCTGTATATATTGTGTTTTGATTTTGAAACATGTGACTATATTAGCCAAAAATTGAATTAAAAATATCATTAAAGAGCCCTGACCTCTGTTGTTCAGTGGTTAGAGCATCAGCCCAGCAATGAAAGGTAGCATGTTCAATTCACTGTCAAGGGCATGCACGGAGTTGCAGGTTCATTCCTGGCCTGGGAGTGCGTGTGGGAGGCAACCAATCTATGTGTCTCTCTCACATCGATGTTTCTCTCTGTCTCTCCCCCTCCCTTCCACTTTCTCTAAAAACCAATGGAAAAAATATCCTCAGGTGAGCATTAACCAACCAACAAACAAAACAACACAAATGCCCATCAAGGGTGGGCAAATTGTGGTAAAAGCCCACAACGGAATACTACTCAGTGATGAAAAAGGCACCCTCAGCATAGATGAATCTCACAGACAGGATGAATGAAAGAAACTGTACACTAAACAGTATATACCATGTGGTTTCATTGATGTGAAATTCTGGGAACAGCTAGAAGTCAAGGTAGCAGCGACTTCCAGGGGTGGGACACGGCTCAGAGGGGGCAACGGAAGCCCTGGCATTATTCATCTTGCCTGGATGGTGGTCACCTGGGAGTGAACAGCAAGTTTACACTTTAATTAGCAAACGAGTGAAAAGTAACCTGTAGTCCCGTGACTCCGTGCTGCAGCTACCGGTGGGAGCGAACACGGCTTCAGATGGGAGCCGGTGCAGGGGCAGCAGGGGCCTGGCAAGTTCTCTTTCCAAAAAGAAATTGGACCCCGCGAGTCCTGTCCTCTCCCAGCAAGTCCCTGGTCTTGTTGGGACGCCCTTTCCCCATCTTTGGCTTGAATCCAGGCATCTCCAAGGCCTCTGCCTGCGACTCTGCCTCTTGCGGGCGGTGGCCTGGCGCTATCTCAACCCCACAGCCGGTCACCTGGGCGGGGCCGCGGGGCGCCTCCCCGAGGTCTCGCAGGCCCTGGGCTGCCCCCGGCTCGTCTGTAGTCGCGGTACCTGTTTCTCAGCTGAGCTCACCGAGTCCTCACTGAACCTCCCTGGAGCTCAGCAGGGTCTGGCGAGGCACAGGCCGCGCACGCAGCAAGTGCTGAATAAACGGTGGCTGCGAGGGAATCATTGGACTTTTCCTGCAGATCATGATATCTCTCTAAGGTGGGGTCCGTGTGGGTCCCAAAGTTACCCGTGAATCAAATGCAAGAGGGAAAAGTGGCCTCTGGCGGATGCGGCGCGCAGGGGGCGGGCCTGGCCCTTTAAGAGCGGACGGAATGTATCAAAACAAACCGGCCGGCACCCACTGGCCGCGCGCGGCACGTGACCCCGCTGGGCCCGCCCCCTTTTGTCGGCCGCGTCCGAGTGTCAGTGTCGGCGCCGCCGCCGCGGTCTCCGGTGCGGGTCCCGGCCTCCCCGCGCCGCCGCCGCGCCCCGCCCCTCGGCCCGCGCACTGCCCCCGCGCCCGGCCTCGGAGCCACGCTGCCCGGGGCCAGCGGCCTCGTCCCGTCGCGGATGGCGCACTCGCCGGCCGCCGTGCCGGGCGCGCAGGAGCCGGGCTGCCCCATCCGCGTGGAGCACGACCGTCGGCGCCGCCAGTTCACCGTCCGGCTCAACGGTAACGCGTGCCGGGTTGTCCCGCCCTTTGTCTGCGAGGGACGGACCCGCGGAAGCCACCCTGCCCGGCGCGGCCCGGCCCACGGCCCGGGGGCGGCGTCGCGAGCGCGCGCCGCGGGGCGACCTCGGGGGCGGAGGTTCCGCCCGGCGCTCCGGACGCCGCCGGGGCTGCTGCTCCGGGCCGGGTGGGGGCGTGGCCGACCCCGGGCGGGGCGGGACGGGGCGGGACGGGGCGGGCTGTGGGGAGAGGCGCGTCCCCGCGGGACAGCCCCGGCCGCGGCCCTGGGAACGCGCACCTGCTCGGGCCGGACTGCTTTCCGGTGTTCCCCGAGGCCGCCGTCTGAGGTCCTGGAAAGCGGGTCGGTGGGACCTCCCGCGCCCCGGGCGTTCAGTAGCTTCTGGCTGCCCCGGGAGCCTTCGCTTTGCTGCCCCGAGCGGCGTGGGAAGGCTCCTCTGGGCAGATGGAGGGCTGCTTCTCCCCAGGAAGGCGGTGGGGGGTTTGTGACCCTCTCGGACCCCAGGCCGCCTCTGCTGCCCCGGTTCTCCCTCCCGCCGTGGGAGGGGCCGCGCACACCCCGGGTGAGTGCTGAGTGCTGGGGTGAGTGCTGCGCAGCGCATAGCAAGTGCGAACAACGGACTGTGCTTACTTTTGAGACCAGAAAGCACAGGCAAGCCTTGCTTTCCCGGGAAGGGAGGTTCCTCCACACCCTCCTCCTGAGAGTTCTGGGGGTGAAAAGTAGATTGTGAAATGAAGGACCATAAACTCCCTGCATCCCATCCCTTTTGCTTTTATAACTTTTTCTCCTTACCAGCTGGGCCGCTGTGGCAAGGTCCACGCTGAAAGGGCCTTCAGCGGCCACTGTGCCCATTCCTGAGAAGGGAAGGCAGAGGCCCAGGAAAGGGGGGGCTGCCTGAGATCAGGCAGTGAATTGGGGCAGCACTGGAACAGGGTCCTGCCCAGTGTGACTCCTGGAACTGGACACCTCCAACCTGCACTTGGACGCATCAGGAGGGGCTGGGAGCTGGGGCAGGGACATTCCCGAGACACCCTCCCCTCCCTTTGAGCCAGGCCCTAGCACATCCGTGCAATGTGGGGCAGCAGCACCCTGTTATTGCTGGGGTAGCCTCCATGTGCCCACCTGCTGCGGGGGCAGTGGAGCTCTCGGAGTGCTGGGGGGGGGGGGCAGTGGAGCTCTCAGGGTGCTGTGGGAACAGGAACTTGCTGAGGCCCCCGGAGGATGAGGTGTGGAGGAAAGCTTTATTGGTCCCACCTCCTGCCCCGCCGTGGGAAAAGTCCCATCTTGTCTTCGGCTGAGCGAGGATGAAAGCCACTGCCCGGGTGTCCGCTCCACGTTGAAGCCCAGTGCAGACGCATCTTCGGGCTTAGCTCATGTTCCAGCTGCTGTCCATGGTGTGGGCCCCACAGAGCCATGGGCCATGCCGCTTCTAGGGCCACGTGGCAGGCGAGTGTGGGTCATGGAACAAGAAAGAATAGGAGCATAAAGTGGCGAGAGAGAGAAAGTGTCATTTTCTGGGGATTTTAACCAAAGATTTCTCAAACTTGCCATGGGCTCCACCCTCCCAGCCAGTCCATGGCTCCCCAGGCTAGACTGACAGGCAGGCATCTTCCCTGCCTCACCCTGACTTCACTGCACATGCGTCCGTGTCTCTCTTTGCTTTCTTCCTGTCTATATATATAAACGCCTAAGCGACCATTCGACTGTTGGACCGTTCAACTGGTAGCTGTGATGCATACTGACCACCAGGGGGCAGACGCTTCAACCGGTAGATTGGCTTGCTACTTACTGGAGTCCGGCTGGGCTAGACCGGCTGGACATGCCCTGGAGCCCTCCCACGGTCCCTCCCCAGCCGGCTGGCCCAATCAGGGTCCCTCCGCCTGGCCTGCGATCCGGGACCCCTTGGGGGATGTCAGAGAGCTGCAGACCAGGCCAAGGAACCCCACCGCACCCAGCCTCTAGTTATTAATGTGAACTAGCTAGTCACGATGGTAACAATCCCATATTATGGATGAGTAAACTGAGGCTTAGACACCAGGGCAGGAGAGACTTTCCAGCATCACGAAGTGCCAGAGCCAGAACTCAAACACTGTTCTTTGCACGTGGAAGCCAGTCCTCCCGCGGCGGTGGTGCCTGGCCAGGGCCTGGTCCTCTTGCTGCAGGGCGGCGCGGCCCATTCTCGCAGGGTGGTTTTATTCACTTGCAGCAAGTAGGAGAGAGAGGAGATTGTATCTGGAGCTCTGCCTCCGCGTCTATACACTACTTGGTCATGCTTGATTTCTTCTTTGCAGTTGGCTGCTTTTATGTTTTTGAAGTTGAGTTCCTGTCAAACTCATCCAGTTTACAGCTGGCCTGCAGACTACTGTGCGACATGTTAACATGCAGCAAGACTAGAACTCAGTAGGCATAGCCCAGACCTTGAGATCCTGTCCTAAGAGGGGCCTCTGGCTTTTCAAATCCTCTTTTCTGAGGGTCCAGGGAGGCTCCGGTTCCCCTGGTGCTCAGGCGGTGCTGTATGCTCACAGGGACAAAGGAGAGAAGGCTGTTGGGGGTTTTCCTTCTTCCTGATGAGTCCCGCCAAAGGAGACCCCGCCCCCCTCACTCGGGCCCCCAGAGCTGGCTGTGGTCACAGCTAGACGTGCCCAGCCATGTTTCTAAGCGTGCCCACCTCTGGAACCTGCTGCCCCGACAGCTAACTATAAAGTGTTCCAGGGACCCCAGCCACCCCAGGGTGCAGTGTGAGACTGTCTGTCCTCCTTCCGCCTGCACGCCAGGCTCTGCAGCCCGGCCTGGTCCGCCTGGCGTGGATGGGAGGTGCGGGGGGGGGGGGGGGGGGGGGCGGGGGTGAGAGCGGAGTCATCTGTGTCTGGGGCCGCCCTGCCTCAGCGGGGAGGGTTAGTGTGTAGCAGCGTCTCGGCCGCCCTGAGCCAGCTGACTGCCTGTAGAGCAGTGGTTCTCCACCTGGGCTGCACATGAGAATCATCTGGGAATCTTTTTAAAATCCTGATTTCCGGGCCTCATCCTCCGGAAATTCTGTTTCTTTGTGATGGGGTGGGGCCACAACATTAGTAACAAAGAAACAGAATTTCCGGAGGATGAGGCCCAGAAATCAGGATTTTAAAGATTCCCAGGTGATCCTCATGTGCAGCCATGGTGGAGAACCACTGCTGTAGAGAGATGTGAACACAGGCTGAGAGGTCAGTGGCCTTGGCTCCCGGGCTGGTGGGCCCCCTCTGGCAGCGCTGGCTGCTGAGCTTCCTGCCAGCTTGGTGAGGGAAGGGGCTGAGCAGCTGTGCTCTAGGTGGCCCGGTACAGAGGCTCTAACTCACCCTCTACCTGTTGGTGGGTGCGGACACATGGCTCTTCTGTTTCACGAACGAGGACACTGACTTGCCCGGGGCCCCTTGGAGGGAGAAGGGTTAGGGTCTGGTCCTTATGGAGTGGCTGGAGTGTGCCAGGCCCTGTGCTAGGTGTCAGGGACGCATGGGGCTGGCGTCTCGAGGACAGCAGGCAGCACCCCCCCCACCCCCACCCCCCCACCCCCGGAAGCTGCCCAGGAACCAGGCCCTGAGAAGGAGGCAGGGCAGGAGGGCGAGGAAGGGCTCTGTTCAGAATCGGGTGCTCAGGAGGCTTCCCTGGGAAGGTGGCGTTGAAGTCAAGACCAAGCAGAAGCGAGGGTTCGAGTGGGAAAAACTTTGGAGTGAAAGGAGCAGCCGGGCCGAGGCCCGTGGAGCCTGCCTGCCTGCCTCGGGCAGCGGTGGGTCATGTCGATGTTGCCAGGAGGCCCTGGGGCAGGTGGTGTGAGGCCTTGCTGTGACTCTGAGTGAGGCGGGTGCCCAGCGGGCCGCTCCCCTGGCTGTGGGGCGGGGCAGCAGGGCAGTTCCAGGCTCCCCTGGCTGTGGGGCGGCGGGACAGCAGGGAGCTGGGCCCTGCACTGGGCCGGGCAGTGCGGGCAGAGGGGCAGGAATGGCCCCTGCAGGCAGTTCTGAAGGAGGCCTGGCGAGGTCTTGCTGGCACGGGCTGTGAGAGGATGCTCGACTCAGGCTAGTCAGCCCTCAAGTCCAGGTTCGGAAACGCTAGCTTGTGTGTCACCACTTCATAGTGGGGAAAGCAGGGTGCCCAGCCTGTAGGCAGCTAAGCCACAACCGTGCCCACCCTGGATGTCCCTTTCTCTGGCCTTCCCTCTCCCCTTGCCACCAGGGCTGAGCGCCCCACTTGCTTCAGGGAGGGTCTGATGCTGCTGTCCCCAGAGTCTGTGGCAGCGGTAGAGTCAGTCGCAGTGCTGACCGGGGGCGGGGGCGGGAAGGTGCTCTGTGTGAATGCCAGTGGCACTGGCCAGGGCAGCACCGCAGGCCTTGACCCGAAAATGGCACCGCTGGCTGAGCACCTGCTGAACTGCGACACACACAAGCTGCTGGCCCTTCCTTGAGGCGGTGTCCACTGGCCACCCTTCTGCAGTCGCCTGGGTCCCCCAGGGTCCACCCCCTCAAGGCAGACGGAAGGGCCACGTCAGGAAGATCAGAGCTGTGTGTGACACCCGCCGGCCAAGTCCCGGGCCTCAGTCTCCTGGAGGCGGAGAAGGAAGCGCATGGAACAGAGTGGCACCAGCAGGGACTGCGTGCGCAGACCCGGCTGAGGAGGCCTCCACGTCATCCGCCTCCATCAGAGCATCTGCACGGGCACAGGCGAGGAGCGCCCACCATCTCCGCGTCCCTGCCACCACAGCCTGCGGGAGGCCCTGGGAAGTGCCCGCTGGACCAGCAGCAGGTCCTCCAGGCAGCACTGTGTGCGCACCTGCCAGGCCAGCTTCCTGAGGTGCTCTCCAGGGCAGGGCAGGCGGAGGAGTGTTCCTGGTTCCCAGAGAAGGTGCTCTCTTCCTGGTCAGCTGCACAGCCACCCTGACGTCATCCATGAGATGTGCACCAAGAAGAACGCCCAGCTCGGCTAGGAGGTGTAGGTGTGCCCAGCAGCGGGCACACCCGGGCACTCGCAGACACAGGCAAACCCGAATCCTTGTGAATCATGCCGCAGGCCACCCTGGCCGAAGGCTGCAGGGGACAGCCCTGGGTTTTAAAAGTCATTTTCTGGGCCAGTCCTGATGGGGCAGGAGACAGCCATCCTGTTCGAAATCACCTTTGGACTTCACGACGGTGCGGGCGGGCCTACCTCTGCTTGTGGTGAAAGTCAGCCGGTGCTTTTTGTTCCCCCACACGGAGCATAGCCCGGGGAGCGTGTCATACTCCTCGCTTTAAAAATAAGTGTGTGTCCTTCTAACGATGTTTTGGGTATTTTAAGGACCATGAGGAGTTTGATTTGAAATTACACAAGATCCCTATTGTGGGAGTTTTTTTAAAAACAAACTGTTCTGTGATTGCTCAGCCCAGCCTCATGTCTGTTGTTATAGACCCGCCTTTTCCTTCTGTCGTTTTTCAAACAGCACTTTTTAAAAATATATACATTTTATTTTATTTTATTATTATTATTTTTTTAAATATATTTTATTGATTTTTTTACAGAGAGGAAGGGAGAGAGATAGAGAGTTAGAAACATCGATGAGAGAGAAACATCGATCAGCTGCCTCCTGCACATCTCCTACTGGGGATGTGCCCGCAACCCAGGTACATGCCCCTGACCGGAATCGAACCTGGGACCTTTCAGTCCGCAGGCCGACGCTCTATCCACTGAGCCAAACCGGTTTCGGCTACATTTTAAAAATTTTATTTTTAGTGAGAGGAGAAGGGAGAAGAGAGAGAAAGAAACATCGATGTGAGAGTGGAGCACCGATCGGCTGCTTCTGCACCCGAGAAGGAGCTGCCCCGGGCACGTGCCCAACTGGGGATCGAGCTAGGGCAGTGCCTTTTTCTTAATCCTCACCTAGGGATGTGTTTTTATTGACTTTAGAGAGAGGAAGGGAGAGGGAGAGAGAGAAAAACATTGATAGGAGAGAGAAACATCAATTGGTTGCCTCCCATCTGCACCCTGACCGTAAATGGAACCCGCAGCATTGTTGACTGGTCACAAGTTAACTTGTGTCTTTTTCTCTACTCGTCCATCAGTATTTCCAGAAATGGGACGAGCAATCCATCTAATCCTTCCATCCGTCTTTCATTATGGGGAGGGTTCAAAAAGATGTGTCGCGGCAGAGAACGTGTGAGCGAGCTCTGTGCAGACCCTGCGACCGGCCGGCCGGTGACCGTGTCTCGCTGGAAGGCGGCGCTGCCGGGAGAGCGGTGAGCCCGGCAGCGCCGAGGCAGAGAGGACTGCGGGCCGGCCGCTGACGCTGGGAGAACGGGCAGGAGACGCTCCGCCGCCTTGGAGCCGAGGCAGACATTTCAGCGCCTGTTCAGTGTGGAGACCACACAGTGGAGGTGAAGTAACCAACTCATTCTTTGATAAAGAGTTTTTCAGTCTGTTACTCTCGAACCTCTGCTAGCTCCTCACCGTGGACACGTTGCTTATACAGATACAGAGAAGTTTCTCCGTTTAATTATGTTGAAGGGACTAAGGAAGAAGCCAGATGGAGAGATGACTGGTCATCCGATCCTTTACTTGAATCGCCCATATTTCCAAAAACCATGACTGGAAGGAGGTTGGAGGGAACACGGACATTCTCTCATCCGAACGATGGTTCACAACATGTAACATGGACCGTCTTCACCAAGTCCCGCCCCTTTGGACCACTTCACCTCTGAACTTAATGTTTGTACACCAAACAGCGGCTTCCACTCGAGGGAGCAGGGAATCCAAGGAGAGCGTGCTTCGGCTGCAAGGCGTGTGATCGCAGCAGCGGTGACGGCGGGATTTTAGTGCGGACACTAGTGAACGCGGGAGTGGCTGGAAGTGCAAACTCGAGAGAGACGGGTGAAGGCAGAAAGTTACAACGGACTGTGTTATCCGTCGTAGGGCCTTTTCTTGGTTCTTGACATCGTATTCACCAAGATAATTACTACAACAGTGTCTGCAGCTGAGCTGTTACTGAGGTACAAAGCCCCAGCCCGTGGAAGAATGAGGGAGAGCCACGGTGCCACCACGACGAACAGAAACGTCGCCAGCCCACGGGGCGCGTTCTGGCCTGACACAGCTGGTCAGCAAGGTGCTGAGAAACTGCCTCCACGTGTATTCTCTCCAGGGGAGACCCCGAGCCCCCCCATGCCAACCCCCGAAACCCTTCGCTGCCTCAGTGTCCTTCCTGGCATCAACAAGAGCTGTGTGCTGTAGGTGTGAAGGTGACTAGGGGACCCCACAATTGATGTGTGTGAAAGACCCAATGAGGAGCAGCTGGTGGTTTTTATGTAGAAACTAAATCATTCTCAGTAAATAAATCTCTGCTTTGGAAACTAAAAGGAAGGTTCATTTGTGGCCCTAGAATCCTGGAGCTCCCACGGCCTCCCACCCCACTTGCAGATGGGAAGTCAGAGGTCACAGGGTCGGCTGCCTCTGGCCTCCCTCTGCCCCCACAGCTGGTGCGTTCAGATCCCTGGAGACCAGGTCCCTGCGTGAGCCATGCGGCTGCCCCAGGAAGCCCTGGGCTCATAGCACCGTGATAGCCCCTGGGGCCGCCCATGCAGAGCCAGGGAGGTGCCTGGTGTGGCAAGAGGACCAACCAGTAGCTCTTCTGGGTAACCCAGGGTCTGCCTTCATGTGCTTCCCCGCTGTGTTGGCTGGTCCCCGGAGTTTTCCCAAGCCACAGCCCCCTCTGCCTAACCTCTGAGCCACCACCCTGTGGCCCCTCCCCAACCAGGCTCTGCGTGTGGAGAAGCCCCACATGCCAGCCGGGTGTTCCCGGGGTCTGCTCCCTGCTCCTGTACCTACTCGTGCTGCTCAGCCTTCTCACTCCCAGAGGGAACAGAAGCCCTGCCTACTCTCCCATCTGTCCAGTGGGCATGCTGACCTGCCGGCCACCTCTCAGCACTGAGATGTGTTGGGGTCCAGCACCAGCAGGTCCAGGGGTTCCCGAAGGTGTGGACAGAGTCGGCGAAGAAGGAAGGACACAGGCAGAGTTCAGTTGATCGGCATAGCCAGGTTCTCTAGCCAGGTTCTCTTTATTCTCCTGTTACCTCTGTATTTATACCAGTTGATGTTAGTCCTATCCATTCTCTTCCAAAGGTTAGGGTGTTTGTTATCTCCATTCCAAGGTCACTACTCTCCTGTTCTGTTAAGCTACAAGGAAGTAACTGAAGGAGATTATCCTAAGTAAAGATTATGTAGCTTAAGTGTGATTGTTCGTAGTTAAAGTGATTAATTACCCGCCTGGCACTTAGTTAAGGGCTTTTACTGATTTATTCCCTTCCTTAGTCCTGTTAATCCCTAACTCCAGGGGAAAATCCCCACCTGGGGAAACAACCTTTCTCGCAGAGGTGACCCTGGTTAGAACACATAGTGCTAAGAAGGGGAGCAAACATATTAAGAACAGTATGCCATATACGCCAGGTCCCTTGAAACATGCTGTGCAGATGTTTCTTCCTTGCAGCGACTGTCAAGCAGCAAGGATGGACCGGCTTCCGGCAAATTCCCTCTTTTTTATTTTTTAAATGACAGTGCATGTAAATCAGCAGCCACCTCTCGGATTGGGTTGTTTAAGACTCAGAAGAAGACTTGTTTGTGGCTTTGCCAACAGGTCAGTCCGAGGCTTAACCCTATATTGGCTCCCCGCAGATGGCCGTGGAGGTGGCGGCTGCCTGGCCCTCTGCACAGACCCCACGTCTCCCCCCAGAACCCTCTCCTCCTCCCCGCCTGCAGGGGCAAGAGTTCTCAGTGACCACCTTCCCTGATAACTTCTTGGGGCTGTTGGCCCTGGGGTTGGGGCCGGCGAAGGGTCCTGGGGTAGAGGCCAAGGGTAGGGTCTCTTATGACCTGAGTAGCTTTAACTTTTCTCAAAACCACTGCAGACTGTGGTTGCAGTGTGACTCTCGGGCCCAGGAGGGACGGACCGATGGTCCCGGGACAGGTGAGACCTTGGGCATGAGGTGTTGGAACTGTCCGTCACCTGGCAGAGCGTGGACGGACCCAGGCCTTCCCCTGCCTTGGACTCGTTCCTGTGGCCTCCTTTGCTAGTTAGTGTCCATCGCTCACAGAACCCAGCCCTGCCCGGGCTCTGCCCACAGTGCTGTCAGCAGAGAGAGTGGTGCCCTGGGCCCAGCTGCCCGCACGCCTATGGCAGAGGGCGAGTACCCAGGCACACAGCCCTGCCCTGGCCTCTGCTGGGGGCAGGGGACCTCTGGGAGGGGACATTGGGCCATCTTGGGTCACAAGGAGGAGCCAGCCCTGGGAGGCACTAGGCAGTGGGGGGAACAGCAGGCCCTGTGCACTAAGGCCCCTGAAATCATGTGCCTGGCCCTGCCAAGGCGTTAGGGTGAGTCTGACCAAATACAGCAGGCTACATTTTTTAAAATATATTTTTATTGATTTCAGAGAGGAAGAGGGAGGGAGGGAGGGAGGGAGAGAAACATCAATGATGAGAGAGAATCATGGATCGGCTGCCTCCTGCATGCCCCACACTGGGGATCAAGCCTGCAACCTGGATGTGCGCCCTGTCCGGGAACCAAACCGTGACCTCCTGGTTCATAGGTCGTCCTTCAACCACTGAGCCCTGCTGGCTGGGCTGGCAAGCTAATTTTTGAGGGCTAAATTTTGTATGGCCCTCCAATGATGTTACAAATGTCCCAGTGGCCCTTGGCAGAAAGAAGGTCTCTTCCACGGCCATCTGTGGGGAGCCGATATAGGGTTAAGCCTCGGACTGACCTGTTGGCAAAGTCACAAACAAGTCTTCTCCACTCCTGCCCTTGGAGGAGGGAGGCCAGGCAGAGGGAGCCACCTGACAGGCTGAGGGTGGAGAGCGGGGGTGTGAGGACAGCCAGGAGGCCGGGGTGGCTGGACCAGAGCCCTGAGCAGAGGACAAATGGGGTCTGACTCGGCTTCCCTGGTGGAGGCAGAGGTGCCCGCGGAGGTGTGAGTAGCAGTGGCCAGAGTCTCAGCATGTTTTGAAAGTTGTACCCATGGACTTGTCTCAGGATCAGCTCAGAGTCTGCGAGAAAGACAAGGCAAGGAGGTCCCCCGGATCTTGACCTGAGCCACAGGGCTTCGCCATTTTCTGGGGCTCTCCAAGCAGGTTTAAGGGAAAAGGAGGGGCACTCTGGCCATGTTGGTGTGGGTAGTTGGGACTCTAAGACACAGTTGCCAGGTCACAGACCAGGGGCTCGGGCTGCGCCAGCACGGTGTGCCCAGCCGGTGTGGAGGGGCCCCCGTCGCACATGCTTCCCTCACGCACAGCTGTGCCCGGCGCTCGTCTCTCTTTCAGGCAGAAGAGCTTTGCCCGTCGCCAGCCAAGTCCATGCGTCACGAGTGTGACTGCCTCCGAGCCTCCGCGTCCCATCTGTGAGCAGGGCTCTGAGAGTCCTGCCCGTTTGTAAGGGTTTCATGAGGCTTCGTGTGTGCAAGGAGCTGAGCACGGGCCTGTCTCCTGCCAGGCCTCGCCTGTGAGCTGCAGCTATGGCACCTGCTGTCTCTGAAGGTGCAGGCCCAGGCTCTGGGGAGGGGCCACAGGTCAGCCTCGAACCCCGAGAGCAGTGATGGCGAACCTTTTGAGCTCGGCGTGTCAGCATTTTAAAAAACCCTAACTTAACTCTGGTGCTGTGTCACATACAGAAACTTTTTGATATTTGCAACCATAGTAAAACAAAGACTTATATTTTTGATATTTATTTTATATATTTAAATACCATTTAACAAAGAAAAATCAAAACAATGAGTTCGCGTGTCATAGATTCGCCATCACTGCCCTAGAGTGTCTGGCAGAGAGAGAACAGCGTAGTTTATAGGACACATCTCCCTTGAGCGTCTTCCCTGGCCTGGGCACTGGGGACCAGCAGGAGCTGATGAACCAGGATGGGGGGCAGCCCCAGGCCATTTGGGGATCTGTTCCATCCATGGCCCAGTGGCCACTTCAAGGATATTGATGGAGGGAACGGGCAGGCGATGAACAGGGAGACGAGCAAACTTCCAAGGCGTGAGGACCCGCCACCTCCCTCTTGAGGGCTGGCAGTGGTGAGAAGCCGAGATCTTTCCAGTGGCTCGCAAGGCCCCCCGTGATTTGGCCCAGAGCCTCCAGTGTGGCTTACTCCCACGCTCCCCACTCGTTCCAGCCACCCTGCTGGCCTCCCAGTGCTTCTTGCGCCGTGTGCCTCAGGGCCTGTGCGCGGCTGTTCTCGGCACCTGGCCTGCTCACCCCCACGTGTGCTTTTGTGTTCCTTGCCCCTCAGGTCTGTGCTTAGGAGAGGCCTGCCCTGTGCACCCTCCCCTCCTCGGCTGCGTCCATCTCTCACTTGTCCCCCAGATCGGTCTTGTTTATAATGAGACGACTTCCTGTCTCCCTCCAGGAGGGAGCGTCTGGTCGGTTTTCTTTACCCAACGCTGAACCCTGCCTGGCATGTAGGCCCTGATGCGTTGGGGTAATTAAATGGCCAGGGCGGCACGCAGGCCGCTCCCTCCGCTGGCCCCTGTGGTCCTGTTCTGGGTGTGTTGAGTTACCCAGCAGGTGTGGGAGCCGAGACCAGAGTCCCAATGCACGGCCAGGGCAGGCGGCAGTGGGGCCAGAGCTGGGCCCGCCCACCAGAGCAGCCGTCAGGCCTGAGGAGGGGATGCAGGGCCCCTAGGGCCACCCTCGGCTGGACCGTTAAGGGGAAGGTATTCCAGGCAGAAGAAACTGCCTTGGGAAAGGCCTGGAGGCAGGAGGCAGAACAGAGACTGGTCTGAGGCCTGGGCTCCCCTTCGCCTGGCTCGCCGTGGGGTGTGGGTCTGAGTCTGCATCTGCACACAGGGCGGTGGCCTGAGCGCCACCCCTGACGGGGCGGCCGTGTTCCCGCACGCAGTTCGCTGCGCCCTCAGCCTTCAGGCTTCTGTTGGTGACATCGCAGGCCCCGGCCCAGGCAGCAGGGAGCAAATTATGGGGCTTTAAAGTGAAAAACACATGAAATACAATTTGCTTTTCATAATCACACTTGACATTGACATGTTTTCCTTTATGGACAGCAAACTGTGTGTTCTGATCTCAGGGCCCTCGCACTGGCTGTGCCCTCTTCTCGTCCTTCCCTGCACCTCTGGCGAAATGGCCCTCTGTCCCCTGATCAGCTCAGTTCCTTCATCCATCACAGCTCCCTGAAGGCAGACCGTGGCGCTGTACTCAGCTACTTGTTCTCCCCACACTCGGCCATCAGCACCCACATTGCTCACCTGGACTATGCGGCCGCCACGCCCCTCTTCTCATAGCAGCCAGAGGAGGATCACGAGATACGGACACCTCCTGTCCCTCCTCTGCCAAGCACCCTCCGTGGCTCCCAGCTCATGGTGGTTGCGAGGCTCTACGGGCCCCCTCCCCCATCACCCCTGCCCTCCCCTCATCTCCTCCACCCTCTCGCTTGCCCACTCCTGCCTCAGGGCCTTTGCACTGGCTTCTCTCAGCCTGGGACACTGCTCCCCAGACAGCACATGGCCCGCTCCTCTTTCTCCTGCCTCCTCTCCACCCCCCTGCCTGCTTCTCTGCTCTGTTTCCTCTTCCCGTGTGTCCACCAGCACAGGCCTCTTATCTGGCTGCTTATTGCTGTGCCCTCAGCACCTGACACCGCACCTAGGGCTCAGCAAACAGTTGTTAAACGAGCCTGGTGGGTGGGTGTGTGCACAGATGGGTGGATGGGGGCTGGGTAAGTAGATGGGCAGGCAGAGGGGAGATGGGTGGATGATGGATGGATGGATATGGTTGGATGGATGGATGATGGATGGATGGATATGGTTGGATGGATGGATGATGGATGGATGGATGGATGGATGGATGGATGGATGGATGTGAGGATGGATGGATGGATGGATGGATGGATGGATGGATGGGTGGATGTGGTTGGATGGATGGATGGGTGGATGTGGTTGGATGGATGGATGGGTGGATGTGGTTGGATGGATGATGGATGGATGGATGGATGGATGGATGGATATGGTTGGATGGATGGATGATGGATGGATGGATGGATGGATGGATGGATGGATGGATGTGAGGATGGATGGATGGATGGATGGGTGGATGTGGTTGGATGGATGGATGGGTGGATGTGGTTGGATGGATGGATGGGTGGATGTGGTTGGATGGATGATGGATGGATGGATGGATGGATGGATGGATATGGTTAGATGGATGGATGATGAGCAGATGGATGGATGATGAGCAGATGGATGGATGGATGATGGATAGATAGATGGATGGATGATGGGTAGATGGATGGGTGATGGGTGGATGGATGGATGTGGTTGGATGGATGGATGATGGATGGATGGATGGATGGATATGGTTGGATGGATGGATGGATGGATGGATGGATGGATTGATGGATGGATGTGGTTGGATGGATGGATGATGGATGGATGGATAGATGGATGGATGATGGATGGATGGATGATGGATGGATAGATGGATGGATGGATAGATGGATGGATGGATGGATGTGGTTGGATGGATGGATGGATGGGTGGATGTGGTTGGATGAATGGATGATGGATGGATAGATGGATTGCTGATGGGTGGATGGATGGATGATGGATGGATGGATGGATGGATGGATGTGGTTGGATGAATGGATGATGGATGGATAGATGGATGGATGATGGGTGGATGGATGGATGTGGTTAGATGGATGGGTGGGTGGATGGATGGATGGGTGGATGTGGTTGGATGGATGGATAGATGGATGGATGATGGGTGGATGGATGGATGTGGTTGGATGGATGGATGGATGGATGGGTAGATGGATGGATGATGGATGGATAGATGGATGGATGATAGATGGATGGGTGGATGTGGTTGGATGGATGGATGATGGGTGGATGGATGGATGGATGGGTGGATGTGGTTGGATGGGTGGATGTGGTTGGATGGATGGATGGATGGGTGGGTGGATGGATGATGGGTGGATGGATGGATGTGGTTGGATGGATGGATGGATGGGTGGGTGGATGTTTGGATGGATGCACAGAGAGACAGATGGGAATAGACTTTGGCTGGAGGAGCCCCTGTTAAATGTTTCCCAGTGGGACTCTGGGGTGGGCTGGTGAGCTTCAGGCTTGGCAAGACTGCGAGGCACAAAGGCCTGTTTGCTCCGTCTTATGTGCCAGCGTCACTTCCCTGTGGATGCCAGTGCCACACCTTGACCTTCTCTGGGCCTGGCGAGAAGTCCTGCTGTGTGTCTCGTCTGCTCTCCTGTCTCTTCGGGCTCTGGTTTAGTGGGGGTTTGGCAAGTCCTGCAGTGCACCCAGTGCTGGGCCTGGGCCTGCAGACCCTCTGGAGGGAGTGCAGGTGGGGACACAGATGGCTGGGCTGGGGGCTCTGGGGGTCCTGGGATGCTGAGACAGAATAACGACGACTCATGGTGGCCTGGAGTATTCTGGGTGTTGTCCTAGCATTTTACAAGATGACTCTTTAGTCTCCAAACAACCCTATGAGGGGTGTTTTATTATGTCCCCATTCTATGGATGGGGAAACTGAGGCACAGAGAGGTTATTGAGGCTCCAGCTCCAGCAGCCTGGCTCCGACGCCTTCTCTCCACTCCAGCTGCCACGCTCATGCGTCTACCCTCCCCTGCAGGATGTCACGATCGGGCCGTCCTGCTCTACGAGTACGTGGGCAAGCGGACCGTGGACCTGCAGCACACCGAGGTCCCCGACGCCTACCGCGGGCGCGGCATCGCCAAGCACCTCGCCAAGGTAGGGCAGGTGGTGGGCCCGCTGGCCGGCCTCAGCCTGTTTCTTGGCCAAAGTGCAGATGGGTCCCACCCTGCTGCCAGCCTGCAGCTGGGAGTTGGCGAGGGGTGTGGGGAGGGGGCAGCAAGGGGGGTGGCTGTGGGGTGGAGGGGGATGGGGGGCTGTGGGTCGGGTTGTGTGTGTGGCTGTGGGGTGGCTGGGAGGCGGGTGGCTGTGGGGCGGGGGGGGAGGGTGGCTGTGGGGTGGGTGGCGGCAGGAGGAGTGTGGGGTAGTGAGGGAGGGGGCTGTGGGGCAGCCGGGGGTGTGGAGTGGCAGAGGGGGTGGGGAGGTAGGCGGCGGGGAGGTGCAGCGTGTCTGCTGGCCCCCTGCTCCTGGGGCTGGGCGGGGGGCGGTGGTCCTGGGCCCAGGCCCCAGGTTCTGCACTGCTGCGGTCCAGGCCCTGACCCTGCTGTGCATCAGGAGCTCATGGCTGTGTCCCTGGGGTCCAGTGTGTCCTAGGAGCTCCGTCGCTCTCGGAATGAATGGGTGACGAATGTTCAAGGAAATTGGCTGGTGCCCCACCCCCTTCTCCCCAAAGCACCTCCAGCTCCAGCTGCGGGGAGAGCAGTCTGACTGCAGGGGACTTGCGCCTGGACCAGAGAAGCCTTTTGTGGCCCTGAGGCTGCTCCTGGGCTGGCTCCCCCTCCGCCCCACACCCCCAGGCCTCTGCCTCTCCCACCCTCCATGGGACCCAGAAAGAACTGAGAGCCCTGGCCAGTGTGCTCGGTGGTTAGACTATCAGCCCGCCCACCCAAGGGTTGTGGGTTCGATTCCCTGCCAAGGGCGTGTACCTGGGTTGCAGGCTCTATCCCTGGCCCTGGTTGGGGCGCTTACGGGAGGCAACCAACCAATGTGTCTCTCATTTGGAGGTTTCTCTCTCTCTCCTCCTCCCTCCCTCCCTCCCTTCCACTCTCTCTAAAATTAATAGAAAAAGTATCCTTGGGTGAGGATTAACAAAAATAAATAAAATAAACTGAGCTTTACTGACCTGGGGAGCGGGGAGTGGAGCCCTCTCCCCCCCTAGAGCAGTGGTTCTCAACCTTCCTAATGCCGTGACCCTTTAATACAGTTCCTCATGTTGTGGTGACCCCCAACCATAAAATTATTTTCGTTGCTACTTCATAACTGTAATGTTGCTACTGTTATGCGTCGTCATGTAAATATCTGATATGCAGGATGTATTTTCATTGTTACCAATTGAACATAATTAAAGCATAGTGATTAATCACAAAAACAATATGTAATTATATATGTGTTTTCCAATGGTCTTAGGCGACTCCTGTGAAAGGGTCGTTTGACCACCAAAGGGGTCGGGACCCACAGGTTGAGAACCGCTGCCCTAGAGCCCTGCCTGCCAGGGCCTGAGGCACAGACCACGGGCACTTACTGTGACGGGCACCTTCGTGGGCTTCCAGTCTTTTTTTCTGCAAATGGGAGGATAGCCGGTTTCTGTCACGAGAGGCTGTAACCCGGGTCAGGGGTGGGCTGCGTGGAGGACACAGAGGCCGCTCAGGGGCGGAAGGTCAAAGGGCCAAGTAAGTGCTGCTGCTTTTCATCAGAACAGCCGGCCGCCCACACTGTCCTCGGCTTTGTTTCAGCAAACATTTTCCTGGTTACTAACCCTCACCCGAGGGTATGTTTCCCACTGATTTTTAGAGAGAGTGGCAGGTGTGGCCAGGCAGGTGCCAGGTAAGCCCGAGGGCCCTGAAGGGGGAGGGCGGGCTGTGGACAGCAGCCCGGGGCGTGCTGGGTGACCAGACAGGCAGCAGGCGGGCCTCCAGGCTCAGCCCCTGCCCACGTGGCCCTGGCTGTGGGCTGTGCTGGGCGGAGACGACTCCGGGCGTTTCGGGAAGAGCTCAGCATCCAGTCCTGGCTCCCTCCCCCCCGTGGCCTGTGCTCCAGGCAGTTTCCCCACAGTTCCCAGCCCCCTCTCTGACATGCGGGTGGTGGCAGCAAGGGTGGGCACTGACCGCTCTCTCTGCCTGCGCAGGCTGCCCTGGACTTCGTGGTGGAGGAGGACCTGAAGGCCCACCTCACGTGCTGGTACATCCAGAAGTACGTCAAGGAGAACCCGCTGCCGCAGTACCTGGAGCGCCTGCAGCCGTGACCCTGGCTGGGGGCAGGTGCGCCCTGCCAGACCTCTCCTCGCCCTGGCCCTGCCTCCGTGTGCTCTCAGGCAACCTGGATCCCATGGCGGTGGGCCACTCAGCTGTTTTGTAAGGACGCTCATCGCCCCGGAGGCGGCTGGCCGAGGATGGGCAGGTCCGGTGACTGGCAAGGGGAGGCCTGGGGCTGCATCCCGGCTGCTCCTGCCTGCAGACCTGGCGGCTTCTCGGAGACCGTACGGCCTGTTGTGGGCCGGCCTGTGCCGCCCGTAGGCAGGACTGGGACGCGGACAGGCATCCTGTGGCCCGCTGCGCCCCTTGTGTTCCTTGCTCTGTGATTGGCACCCCCTCACCACCCCTGCCACTCGGTCCTATTTGCAGAGGGGGTGTTCCCAGTGTTGAGAGGAGCAATAAGAAACTATGTGCCAACTTCCGAGGGCACAGCGCCAGCTGCGGCTGCCGTCAGCACTGCCTGCCTTCCTCCAGCTGCCCGCCTGGCAGGGGTGGCCGGGGCAGTTCCCCCTGATGTGTGCGGCCGGGAACGGTGGCCTGGGCATTAGCTCAGGCTCACGTGTGCACACAGCACGCGCAGCACGGAAGCTGAGTGGCAGGCGGTGTGCCGGGCAGAGAGGCTGGGGGGAGCACCAGCTGTTCTCTCCCTGGTCCCTGTGCCCTAACTCCTTGCCTCCTTGTCTGTCAGCTCTGCGGGAACCGAGGTCCCGCCCCCTGTGGCTGCCCTGCCCTCTCCATCTGCCTGTTGCCAGGGCAGCTCCAGGGGCTCCAAAACCTCCCAGGCCTCCCCCCTGTCCTGGGCCCTGGGTGAGCTTCCTCAGAAGGGACCCTGTGGAGCAGAGGTGGGAGGGAGGTGAACTGTCCTCAAAGCCGTCCTCACCACCAGGAAAGACACTTTTCTGCAGAGGCTTCCCTTCGGGGCCGCAGCCTCGGGGCACCTTCCGGGGGAGCAGGGTTGGGCACGGCCGTGACCTGCACGTGCACGCTCTGGCCCCAGGCAGCCTGGGAATGGCAGAGGGCACCCCCTTCCGGCTGTGCCCCCCACTCTGCAGCGTGCTCTGCGAGGGCCAGGGGAGCGCCTGTCCCCTGCGCCGGGAGTCATGGGCCAGCAGGGGGTGGGCACAGCTGCTGGGTCCTCCCAAGGCTGGGGCAGCCCATCCTGGCACAGTTAAAGAAGGGGGGGCAGGCCTGAGAGTGGACAGACCGGCCGGGTCTTTTCTCTGCCTCCTTCCCGCCCCACTCACACAAGTTTACGTACAGATTCGTCATGGGAACTGCCCGGCGGCTCAGTGAGCTGGTGCTCTCGCTCTGTGGCCTGTGGGTGAGGTGGCCCAGTGCTGGGAGGATGCCCGACGCGGGGCTAGGACAGGCAGGCTGTGGGGCGGGGCCAGGGGCACTGTGTCCCAGCCTGAGCCTGTGTTCTAACAGCAGGTGACGTGCCATGCTGGGCCAGCAGGCAAACAGAACTCGTTAATTGAACCAGGAGCTGCTCAGGGTGGGGGGTGGGTGAGAGTGGGTAGCCTTGGCCCAGGGACAGCTTGTCCCGGTTCCTGCAGGTGTGGCCGCCTTGCCTCCGCTGCCTTAAAGTGCCGCTGACCGCTGCGGGCCGTGCTGTGTGGCCGCCGGGCCCGGGCAGCAGCGAGAGCCTGACGCTCTCCAGGCTGGGGACACGGCAGCCCCGGCCTAGAGCCCTCGGCCGGCACGGCCGGTGTGGCCATGGCTGGCCGCCTCTGGTGCTGCCCCACGTGTCTGGCATCCAGCCCGCCCCCCTCCGCCGCCCAGCCAGGAGGCCGGGAGCCCTCGCTGTGTCCGGGGCAGCACCAGCCCCTCCCAGCAGGTCGCTCACAGGCCCGGGTTCCGTCACATCTCACTTTGATTTCAAAACAGGTCGTAACTCACGTGCCTTCCCCCCTCAGGACCCGCTCTGGCTGAGTCTGGCCAAGGCCCTGGGCCCCTTCGTTGTTTTTTAAGCTCCTGACCGGAGCGCCGGACATGCGTGTCAGCGGGAGCCGGGGCTGGCCTCAGGCCGCCTGTGGGGTGGCCCTGGGTTTACAGTGACTAAGCTGAGGCACGGCGAGGCGTGGGAGCCGCAGGTGTGAGGGGTGGACGGGGCTCCCCCCTCCCCCCTGCTGCCCTGACCTCGCTCGCAGCCCAGCCGTTCCAGTCCAGGCGGGGACGGCCGGCGCGTGCGCACAGGGTGGCCGCGGTCTCAGCCAGACAGCAGGGCCACCAAGGTCTGGGGGGCACCTTGCTCCCGTGCCTTCTCCCCCTTCACCGCCAGCTAGGGCCCTGCCCTGTCCCTTCCTCCACCTGAGGGAAGGGCCATCTGAGGCCTGGCCATGCCTTCACCGCAGAGTGGCTGCAAGGGGCTCACCTGGAAGAGGCGGTGATGTCACAGGGCCTCACATCAGCTGCTGCTCTTAGACGTGTCTCTCTCCCCCTACAAAGCCTTCTCTTGGGGCTTCTAGTCCAGGGGAGTGAGATGGGGTGCCCATGCCGGCCTGTGGGGGCAACGTCACAAATGGCCTCAAAACAGGATCGAGGGGGCCCTGGCCGGTGTGGCTTAGTTGAGCACCGTCCCATGCACTACAAGGTCACCAGTTCAGTTCCCCGTCAGAGCACGTACCCAGTTGCAGGTGGATCCCCAGTTGGGGTGTGCAGGGAGGGGGGACTCCTTTCTGAGTGGGATGTTTTCCTCCCAGTTCCCAGCCTGGGGGTCACCGTGCTGCCCCCAAACACAGGAGGAAGAAGAGGGCAGTACAGTGGCCAGGCCATCAGGCCTGTCGGATAGATGAGGGGGCAGGCCCTGTAGCCGCAGGAGGCTGGGGGGCAGGGGCAGGGTCTGTGCCCATCCCCCTCCCCATGACACAATGTGCCCTCTGTCTGCTCGCGAGGACGGCCTGGGTGGGCCGTGCACTGTCCTTGCGCCTCCCCTGGTCCCTGGGAAGGCTGGGAAGAGCTCTGTCTGGAGCCGCAAGGTCCGTGGCTGACAGGGATGCCCGGCGGATGCTGAGAAGGTGGATGCGTGCCAGGCCACTGTGATGGGGAGATTGACGGAGCGTCCACCCATTCCCTCGCTTGGTCCTCAGCGCAGAAGCCTCTGATTGGCTGATGTCTACCCAGATGTCCCCTCTGCTGTTCTCAGGGCCCCACTTCCTCCAGATCAGCACCCTAAGTTTTCTATGAGGGCACGGAACTGTAGCCCGCAGGCCCAATACTGGGTGGTTTTCAGTGGTGTCGTTCTCATGGCTACAGGATATTAAACAGATTCTTTTCTGGCTCTCAGAGACGCTCTCTGGTTCTGTCCTTCCGCCGGGAGCTGAGTCTAGTATTTTTTCCCGCCGACTCCAGGGTGGTCCCAGAAGCCCCCCCCCCCCCCAGGGCTTTGTGGCTTTATTGTCCCCACCACAGTGACAAGGGGCAGCCGGGCAGCCTCCCAGCTCCACCTTCGAGAAGCGCCTCGCTCAGGCTCATCAGATAGGTGAGAGGCTAACGTGTCGCCACCGGCTCTGGCCCTCCAGAGCTCCATCTCCCCGGCAGGCGAGGTGTTACTGGCCCAGTCGGGCTGGGTCGCTGACCGCAGGTTTCCGCGTGTAAGATCGTGTCTCAGGCCATTCTTGCTCGAAGGGCAGCCTGCGCGGAGTCGGGAAGGAAACTGCTGCAGGTGCTTCGGACGGGCCTAGTATGGGGACTGGCGGTGGAAACCGCTGGGAGGATGGGAAGAGCACAAGTAAGAAGGCGAGGTGACCCCAATACTAGCAAATGCACGCAGCTGCGATGACACAGAGCTGGAGGAACAGAAGTGTTTCCCAAAGCCATGTCCCGGGGCTGCTGCTGGGCCCTTGCCCGGAGCAGTGGGCGGGCCAGAGGGTGGAGAGCCTGGTGGTGAGAGGCCGCTCCGCTCGTCTGTTCCCACTGTGGACACAGAGTGCACCCACCAGCCTCTCGTAGCAGGTGAGTCTGAGTGCGTTCCAGCCGGTGGCATGTGCGTGGGAGTGAGGCGGAAGCCGCCACGGCTCCATCTGTCTCCTTCTGTGCTGAGCGCCGTGATGACCAGGCTTCAGGGACCGGAAACTCGCCGGCTGTACAGAACACGGGTCCCTGCGTCGCTACGTGGAGAAAACCAACCTGTCAACTAACTCTCCTTTTGGCTTGTTATTGAGCAAGAACTGCATATCTGTCGTGTTTTCAGCATTCTACATGTTGGGATCTGTCATACCAGGTAGTGGACTAACACCTTGAAGTATGGTGCGTCTGTAATTTAAAACCTGAAGTACATAGGATTGGCTTAGTGATTAGGCAACAGGGAACATGAACATAGATATTGCAGAGTGGAAAGTGGGAGGCTCATGTTATGCAGCGGCAAAGTGTTTGTAAAAATCAAAACTTGCAATAACTCGAAGGACAGACCAGGGACGTAGAGGCTGTGACTCCAGGGGAAAGAGGTGGGAATGAGCCAGACATCCATCCGTGTGTGTTGGTTGTTCCTTCATTTGTAGTGAGGCGTAAGGAAGAGATACATGCAAGCAAGACACTGTTTGCCAACACAGAAGGGGGAATGAACGTGTTTGAGGCCGTGTAGTGTTGGAAAAGGTAACAGCTACAGGACCCCAAATAACAGGAAATAAAACTGAAAAAGGCCCATTAGAACATTCTCAGCTTTATAGACCAAGGCCTCAGCCCACAGCAAAGGTCCGAAGGAGTCTGTTGACTTGGTCCATTAGCTAATCGAGACACACTGGAGGCATCAGTGAATTAGACACACATGGCTGAGAAGACAAGGAAGCAAAAAAATAGAGCCCCTGGAAGCCACATTAGAAAGAACCGTGGGTGCAGATTAAACAGCTACAGTGGGGCCTTGATTTACGAGTTTAATTCGTTCCGTGACGGAGCTCGTAACTCAAATTACTCGTATGTCAAATCAAAAAGTGAACGAGTGAGACACGTGATGCTGGGCTGATGTGGCGTTCACTGTGACGTTCGCTGCGCCAACTAGCGGTGGGGTATCAGAAGCTGGCTCGTAACCCGAATTTTAGCTCGCAACTCAAAGCAAAACATCGGCCAAGAGACTGCTCGTATCTTGAAAAACTCGTTAGGACACTCGTAAGTCAAGGCCCCACTGTACTAGGGCAGCAAAGGCAAGAAGGGAGAAAGCCAAGGGGATTGATTTATCTCACCCACTGAACAGAGTTGCCTGAGGCCTTGCCCAACAAGAGGACCAGATGTGTGTGCAGACATTCTGAGATCAGCCGCAGCAATGCAGAAGGGGGCCTGGACGCCTAGTCTGCTGCCCAGGGTACCTGCAGGGAGCTCTGAGCCCTCGGGGAGGCTACAAAGCCCCCTGGACCACCACCGGGCGGGGCGCTCACACCAGCTGAGCTGCCTGCCTGCTGGTGCTTCACACCAAGTGCATTCTTGATGAAGTCTTGTTTGCTTCCACACTGCTTCCTGTCACCCATCCGAGTCCTCAGGAGACGAACAAGCCTTGAGGAGAGGAGAGCCGCCTCCCCCCACCTCTGACTTGGTGCCTCTCCGGTAACATCTTTTCTGGGGGGCATGACTCAGATTAGCAACTGGGACGGGGCTCTGATCACTGCCCAGTCATCTCTGATCCCTGACAACGGATTGCAGTGGTTCAGTTCCTCTGGGGATTTCTTTTGCAGCATCACAAAGGTTAGCAAGACAGACTGGGCCTCTGCCCAGGGGCACAAAATTGAAAGTAAAACCAAATGAGTGCCCAGGCTCACCAGGACTCCAAATAAAAGGTAATTCCTCCCTCCAGTTCAAGTCTTGCATGTTCTTACATGAATAAGGTCCTTGTGGAGATGTTTGGGGTTTAACCCTAAATTGCACAAGGGCCTCAGGGACTTGCATTTCACTTGTAATGAACTGACTGGCTCATCCAAGGGTGTGCACATGCGCGCTGGCACTCAGCTCTCCAAGCCCTTCCCATTGCCTGAGATGGCAGGAGAGGAGCCGAGACACATACGAGGGAGCGGGATGGCCGGGAGCCCTTCCCGCCGGCTGCACATTGGGACGCACTACATAAAACCCTATCTGGAGCATGGCCCAGAGAGAACCACGTTTACTCATCAGTCAGGTGTCAGTCTGCTGCCTTTCTCTGCCTCTGCCTGTAGGGCACATAGGAGAGGAACTTACTGTATGTGCAAGCCAAACAGTACAGATCTAATTACAGATATTTCCCCTAGGTCGGGGAGGTAGGCCCTTCCCTTGAGGGTTTATATGAACATTGTAAGGAACGACACTGGCCAGAAGCTGTTAATCAGCAATGATTATCGTGTGAGCAGAGCTTCAGGCAGGACACCCTGGTTGAACAAATTGAAGCTAAGATCCTACGGTTATTAGCCAGGCTGGGTCAGGGTCCTTTACTCCACCCCATTAATTCAGGTAATGGTTCTGCGCCAATTCTGGAATGAATGGGATAAAGGGACCTTCTTCGTGTACATACTCCAAGCTCTAATACCTAACATTGAGACACAAAGATGATATCTTCAGAAGGGTGACAGGCACAGCAGGGAATGTTGGCTTTGTCCTACTGAACCTTACAAAAATTTACAGGCTAACAATAAATTACCTGCTTGGAATATACCTTCGTCTCAAGGGCACATGGATCATTCACACAGAGAGACCACATGTTAGGACACAAAACAAGTCTCTACAAATTCAAGAAGACTGAAATCGTATCAAGCATCTTCTCAAATCACAGTGGAATGAAATTAGAAATCAACTACAGTAAAAACACCTCAAAACATTCAAACACATGGAGGCTAAATAGCAAGTTATTAAGCAAAGAATGGGTTAACAATGAGATCAAGAAAGAAATAAAAAACTTCTGGAAACAAATGAAAATGAACACAAAACACCCCAAAATCTCTAGGACACAGCAAAAGCAGTCCTGTGAGGGAAATTCATAGCACCACCTCAAAAAACAAAACAAAAAAAAATCAACAGTAAACTATTTAACCCTACAATTAAAATAACTAGAAAGAGAACAACAAGAAAATCCCACAGTAAGTAGAAGGAAGGAAATAAAGATTAGAGCAGAAATAAATGACCTAGAGACTAAAAAAAAAAAATACAAAAGGTCAATGAAACAAGAGCTGGTTCTGTGAAAGTATAAACAAAATTGATCCATTAGCAAGACTTATCAAGAAACAGAGAGAGGACCCAAAAAATAATATCAGAAATGAAAGCAGAAAAGTAACCCCTGACACCACAGAAATAAAAAGGACTGTAAGGAAACACTATGAACATCTATAGGCCAACAAGATGAACAATGTGGATGAAATGGACAAGTTCCTAGAAAAAAAACAATCTTCCAATACTGAAACCGGAAGAATCAGAAAACCTGAATAGGCCAATAACAACTAATGAAATAGAAGCTGTAATAAAAAAAACTCCCAGCAAACAAAAGCCCAGGGCTGGAGGACTTCACAGGGGAGTTTTACCAAAGATTAATACTCCTCAAACTATTCCAAAAACTCCAAGAGGAAAGAATATTTCCAAGCTCTTTTTATGAGGCCAGCATTATCCTAATTCAAAAACCAGATGAAGACACTACAAAGAAAAAAAATTATAGGCCAATATCCCTGATGAACATAGAAGCTAAAATCCTCAAAAAAAATATTAGCAAATTGAATTCAGCAATATATTTTAAAAAATCATACACCATGACCAAGTGGGAGTTATTCCAGGGATTCAAGGCTGGTACAATATTCGCAAATCAATAAACATGATACATCACATAAACAAATTGAAAGACAAAAATCACATGATCATATCAATAGATGCAGCAAAAGCATTTGACAAAATCCAACACCCATTTCTGATAAAAAAAAACAAAAAAAACTCTCAGCAAAGTGGGAATAGAGGGAGCATTTCTCAACATGATAAAGACCATATATGACAAACCGATAGCCAATATCATACTCAATGGGCAAAAACTAAAACCATTTCCCGTAAGAACAGGAACAAGACAGGGATGTCCACTTTCAACACTCTTATTCAACATAGTACTGGAAATCCCAGCCACACCGATCGGACAAGAAGAAGGAATAAAAGGCATCCAAATTGGAAAGGAGGAAATAAAACTCTCATTATTCTCAGATGATGTGATATTGTACATAGAAACTCCTAAAGACTCCACCAAAAACTACTAGATTTAATAAATGAATTTGACAATGTAGCAGGATACAAAATCAACACCCTAAAATCAATGGCTCTTTTATACACCAATAATGAACTCTCCGAAAGAAAAACTAAACAA